GTTTTTAAATTATACTTTAAGTTCTAGTCAGTCACATGTGCCGAAGTGCGCAGGTTGTTACCACATAGCACCTATACATGTGCCATGTTGGTGGGCCTGCACCCATTAACTTGTTTGTACTAAGGCAGGTTAAGCACAAGGATCCCGAGTTCAGGGCTTTCCTACGTTATGGCTTAGGCCAATTTTCCCAGCACTTTATTTAAATAGGGGAATCCTTTTCCCATTTCTTGTTTTCTTTGACAGGTCTTGGTCAAAGGATCAGAGGCTTGCTAGATGGTGTGGTATTTTTCGGAGGGCTCTGTTCCCTTCCATTGGCCTCCTACCTATCTCTGTTATTAGGTCCCAGTAGCCATGCTGTTTTGGTTACTGTAGCCTTGTGAGGGTAAGTTGAAGGTCAGGCTAGGGCCTGATGCTCCTGCTCTTGTTCTTTTGGCTGTACCGATTCTTACTTGCAATGCGGCCGGTCTCTTTTTTTGGTTCCATATGAACCTTCATAGCAGTTTTTTTCCACCAATTCTGTGAGAAAGTCATTGCGGTAGGCTAAAATGGGGACTGGCATTGGAATCTATAAATTACTGGGGAGTATGGCATTGTTCACAATGCCCCGATATTGTTCTTCCATATCCATGAGCCATGGTATTTATTCTGTCCATTTGTTTCGTGTTCTCTTTATTTCACTGAGCCGTGGTTTGTAGTTTCGTCACTTGAAGATGGTCCTTTACATCCCTTGTAAGTTGGATTCCTACAGTATTGTTATTTCTTTTGAAGCTATTGTGAATGGGGAGTTGCAGTCCCGATTTGGCTCGTCTGTTTTGGTCTGTTACCCGGCCAGGTATATAAGATGCTTGGGATTTTTGGCCACATTGATTTTGGTATCCTGGAGTTTTGGTGAAGTTGGCTTATCAGAGCGTTGTAAGGAGATCTTTGGGCTGAGACAATGAGGTTTTCTAAATATACCCAATCATGGTCCAATCTGCCAGGGACAATTTGGACTCTGTCTTTTCCTAATTGAATAGCCTTTATTTCTTTCTCCTTTGCTGATGCCGCAGCAGAACTTTCCAAATTACTTATTTCTGAATTAGGAGTGGTGTGAGAGAGGCATCTGTCCTTCCGTTTGTGGGCCCTTTCAAAGGGAATGCTTCCAGGTTTTTTGCCCATTCAGGTATGATTTGCTTGGGTTTGTCGTAAATGCTCGTTATTATGTTGAGATACATCCATCATACCGATTATTGGAGAGTGTTTTAGCTGAAGGGCTGTTTGAATTTTTTTGTGTCAAAGGCCTTGTCGCTGCATATGAAGGAAAATCATCGTTTGTTTTGAGTGGGCTTTTGTCTTTGGTCTGTGTTTATATGTGCTGGATGACTGTTTTGATTTGCATATGTTGAACCAGCCTTGCATTCCAGGATTTTTTTTGGGAAGGGGCCCCTCTGATCATGGTGGGATAAGCTTTTGATGTGCTGCTGATTTGGTTTGCCAGTTATTTTTATGTGTGAGGTTTTTTTGCATCGATGTTCCTCAAGATATTGGTCTAAAATTCCTTTTTGGTTGTATCTTCGTCAGGCTTCGGTGATCCCAGGAAATTGTTGTTGGCTTGGTAACATGAGTTAGGAGGATGCCATCTTTTTGGTATTGAATGGGAAATAGTTTCAGAAGGAAAGTAACAATCCAGTCTCTGGTATGGTATGAATTCGGCTGTGAATCTGTCTAGTCTGGACTTTAGACTCCTCCTCTGGGGACAGGGCATAGCTAAACAAAAAGCAGCAGAAACCTCGGGAGAGGTAAATGCCCCTGTCTGACAGCTTTGAAGAGAGCAGTGGATCTCCCAGCACAGAGGTTGAGATCTGAGAACGGACAGAAAGTAATTTTTTTTAATCTAAGAAAATACTAACGGTCACAGAAGGCTATGAACCTGAGACCTGCTCTCTTTGTCAAACAGAGATTAACAGGGATCAGAGAAAAGATAAAGGCTGTCTTTGACATACTCAGAAGGCTTACAAGAGTTTTAAAGAAATTACTTTCTCACTATATGATTCATTGTTATTTAACGGTGAGTCAGTAAACCACCTAAAAATCATCTTGTGTCATCAGAAACACTAGTGTAACATAACTGTATCATTTTCTACTAAAGACAAAATTTCACCAAAGGGGAAAAAGAAAACACAGGATAAAGAGACATATTACACACATCGAAAAAAACAACATTTAACAAAATACTAAAATATTTCCCCACTCTTCTGATACTGTCAAGTCTTAACACTTAAAATAAGGCTTCCACCTCTCCCACTTCAAACAAATAAATGAATTCTAAACAAAGGAAACTTCATCAGGCATTTGGGTACCTCCTCCCCTCACCACGAGGTCTCTGCTGAATCTCAATCCTATACACTGAGGAGCCTGTGGCTTGAACCCTACATCCCTCCAAAACCCCCAGACTGTCACTCACTGAGGGTGCTCTCATTTCTCTGTGGAAAAGACTTTCTTCACAGAGTTCCTCAGACAGTCTCCCAGGTGATGGACACAGAGACTTGGGCTGAGTCTGCCAGAAAGAAATTAGAAAAGTGAGATATTTTTGAAAGGAATAGAAGGTGCCAGATTCAGAAAGACTTACTCCCTACTTCACAGAGGCACCCACACCTCTGAAGATGACTCCTTGGATTGGAAACCAATTGCAGGGCAACCCTGGGAGCCATGTGTTAAGGATGGAAGGTCACATGATGCAAGAAGCCTGGGTTATTACATTATCACTGAGAGCTCCTTGCATATTCTGGTTATTAATCCCTTGTCAGATGGGTAGTTTGCCGCTATTTTCTCCCATTCTGTGGGTTGTCTCTTCACTTTGTTGATTGTTTCCTTTGCTGTGCAGAAGCTTCTTAACTTGATGTGAACCTATTTGTTCATTTTGGCTTTGGATGCCTGTGCTTTGTAGGGTATTAATCAAGAAATCTTTGCCCACTCCAATGTCCTAGAGAGTTTCTCCAATGTTTTCTTTCAGCAGTTTCATAATTTGAAGTCTTAGATTTAAGTCTTTAATCCATTTTTATTTGATTTTTCTATATGGTAAGAGATAGGGGTCTTGTTTCATTCTTCTGCATATAGGTATCCAGTTTTTCCAGCACCATTTTTTTAAGAGACTATCCTTTTCCCAATGCATGTTCTTGGCACCTTTGTTGAAATGAGCTCACTGTAATATATGGATTTGTTTCTGAGTTCTCTATTGTGTTTCATTGGTCTATGTGTCTTTTTCTTTTTCTTTTTTTTTTTATGCCATAACCATGAGGTTTGGTTACTGTAACTTTGTAGTATAATTTGAAGTCACATGATGTGATCTTTACAGTTTTGTTCTTTTTTGCTTAGGTTGGCAATTCTAGGTCTTTTTTTTTTTTTTTTTTTTTTTTTTTTTTTGGAGACTGGTCTCTCTACTGTTGCCACAGGCAATGAGTGCAGTGGCACATTCTCAGCTCACTGCAAACCTCCACCTCCCAAGGTTCAAGGCTATTCTTGTGGCCTCAGCCTCCCAAGTAACTGGGCTTACAGGTGTGTGCCCCCATGCCAAAAAAAAAAAAGTATTTTTAGTAGAGATGGGGTTTCACTATGTTGGCCAGGCCGGCCTTGAAAAAAAAAAAACAAGTGATCTGCCTACCTCAGCTTCCCAAAATGCTGGGATTACAGGCGTGAGCCACCATGCCCAGCTTCTAGGTCCTTTTGTGGGCTATTCTTGGTCTTTGTGATTCTATAAAAAAAAAAAAATTATTTTTCTATTTCTATGAAGAATGTCATTGTTACTTTGATAGGGATAAAAAAAAAAAAGCAGATTGCTTTGGGTAGCATGGACGTTTTAACAATAATTGAGTCTTCCAATCCGTAAACAATGGATATGTTTCTGTTTTTCTGTGTTCTCTTTGATTTCTGTCTTCAATAAAAAAAAAAAAATTATAGAGATCTTTCACTTCTTAATTCCTAGGTATTTTATTTTACTTGTAGCTATTGTAAATGGGATTACTTTCTTGATTTCTTTTTCATGTTGTTCCCTGTTGGCATACAGAAATGATACTGATTTTTTTATGTTGATTTTGTACCCTGCAAGTTTAATGAATTTATCAAAAAAAAAAAAATTTTCATGGAGTCTTTAGGTTTTTCTAAATGTAACATTGTATCATCAGCAAACAAGAATAATTTGGTCTTCTTTCTTCCTAATTTGAATGCCCTTTCTGTCTCTTGTCTGAAAAAAAAAAAAAGGACTTCTACCATGTCATCAGTGAAGGAGACTCTACCCCTTCTAAGAACACTTGGATTATATGGAGGGGGAAACTGGCCTTGAAGAAAATTCATGAAATATTAAGACAGAAAAAAAAAAAAATTCTCTAACAGCCTAGACTGACTTAACACAAATGAGGAGAGGAGCCTTAAAAAAAAAAAAATCCTCGTGACCTTTGCAGATAGATAGGATGAGGCTTCCCTGTTGCTGAAGGAAACCTGAACTCAGGAAAATGAACCTCACCCATAAACATCGTACAGGAGTCCTCTACTAAAAAAAAAAAATCCCATACCTGTGGGCTGAGAATGGGTAATGGCATGGCACTGCTTTGATCCCCTAAGCTTCCTGCAGGCCAGGGTACGGACTAGAGTGACCAGAGCTCATGGCTGGTCTCAAAAAAAAAAAATAAGCATTTTCCACTTGCCCAAATTCATTGTACAAATAATAGTACTTTAAAAAAAAAAAAAGCAAAGTTAGAGAGCACTGTTTTATAGAACCTGGGGTTCCCCTTCCTGTCCAGCCCTCAGTGGTGGTGACTGATGCTTAAGACAAGGCTTAAGTCTCTATGCATTTCCCTAAAAAAAAAAAATATGGTCTCTCTGATTGTTTTTATAGTAAACAGCAGGCATACTTTAAGGAGGAAAAAAGAGCTAGTCAAAAGATTTTCTGCCCAGGTTAAAGTCAGTGAAAATTTAGACTAAAAAAAAAAAACAGTGAAGCCTTCAAGTTATCTCTGGTGAAGACCAGTCCTCTGAAGTTAAAAAAAAAAAAATTAGCATTTAGTAAATATCTGGACAGGTTTACTTGTCACTTGAGAATATAAAAAAAAAAAACAAAAAAAGAACAGAAGGGAGTCTCTAAACTTTCATTTCATGGTTCAACAGTACTTGACGATGCATCGAAATCCCTCAATCTCAAGTAACCAGTGCCAAAAACATCTTCAAAGTGTCTCAGAAGAACTTTCAGAAGGAAATAATGGATCGTTTGGATGAAAACACTCATTTTTAGGAAAATCTAAAAGCGCTATCCCAAGAAGCTGTGAAATGGAATACAAAGTGTGAGAAAAAAAAAAAAAAAATGCTTGACAACTTGAAAACATAAAGAAGTTGTAAATGATAAAGAGAGCAAAAAAAAAAAAAAGGTGATATACTTGCCTGTCTTCTTTAGCAAAAATTACATGGGTGATGAAAAAAAAAAAACAGACAAAGACAATCAGAAAATTGAGAACTTCTAGGCTGTAAATCAAAAAAAAAAAAAAAAAAATACACTGATGCTGTTAAATGTTTCCTTAAAAAGGCTTGAAGAAGAAAAACAAGGACTATTAAAAAGAAAATCAAATGAATCACTTACAGTTCAAAGAAATGGTCTCTAAAAAAAAAAAACATCTTTGTAGTCTGAAAATGTAGCTCATATGAAAACATCAGCTGTGTAAAAAAAAAAAAATGACGCCCACAGGAAGATGGCCTCGAGAAAGTCTTGGAAAGAAGCACTTTCTACTATCAAAACTTGATCATTTCCCAAGAGAAAAAATGCTCAAGAAAGTTGGATGGCAGCTTGGCACACTAACAGAAAGCTCACTGAGCTAAGAAAAGAAAATGATCACAACAGATAAAGAAAAAAAAAAAAGTTTAAATTTCAGGTTTTCCCAAGTGGTTCCTGCTGTTCCATGTGCAGGCGATCCCATGCATCATGTCTGCAAGGAAGGGAGAGGTTAAAACTGTAAGGGCTTACACATTTGGGTCAGTAGGTTTGATTCAGGTTTACAGCAACCAACTCCTAACTATATACTGGAGGACACATGACCGTGTTTTCTTTACTTAATAATTTAATCTCTTTTTATTGTTTTTTCTTAGTTGATAAAAAAAAAAAATAAATTCAAGTTCGAAAGAATTACAATTCCTAAGATGGTGTTTTACAAATCTAGATGGTTTTAATACAATTCTTGACTATTAGACCATTCCATGAGACTCTCAGGTCCATAAAAAAAAAAAATTTACGCTGAATTAAATAGTTCACTATTACGTAAACCATAATTGAATTTAAAAAAAAAAAAGGGATAAATAAATCAATAAAGGTCATTTATATATGCTACGAACTGTTACAAAAAAAAAAAATAACAGTATTTACCTCAATAAATTTAGGTTTAATAGAGAGAATCCCACCAAAAAAAAAAAAAAAAAGAATAATACCCTCCAACTAAATCTATTAGTATTTTTATTAGTTTAAAAAAAAAAAAATAGATTTAGGGGAGGTAACACTTTGTTCATGATATTATTTGCTGTTTAAATATTTCTAAATTTTATGCAGTCAAAAATAAAAGCTTTCCCTTAAAATACCTTCTTTATCAAAAAAAAAAAAAACAGGTTGTCTCATCTCTAGCATTACTAGATACCTGATTATGCCAAATATCAGGTCTTCACACCACTTTTCTGGCCCACCTAATATCCTGACGGGTCTCCCTGTCTTTGGTAAGGTCAATGATGGCAGCTACTATTTAAGTATTTACTATGTGGTAGGCAATAGGCTAAGAAAAAAAAAAAAATTATCTCATCTAACCTCATAGCAATCCTGCAAGGTAATTGCCCCCATCTTATGTTTGACTATTACTACCTTTGCTCAAAAGCTTCATACTTTCAGAATATTTTTCAGTCCTCTATCAGCTAGCTCAACCTATTTTTCTAATCATTCCCTATAGGTCCTCTTAACCTACAGCATTTCATTCAAATTCAACTGCTGTGTCCCCTACATGCTCCTTGTGCTTTTCTTACACTCAGGCTTTGTGGGCCCAGTTGTAAACGTACTTGCAGTCATAGCACAAATGCCACCTCTTACATAAAAAAAAAAAAGGAAACTCCCTGCTAAGTTCTTACAATAAGTTCTTTATTCCTCTAACTTAAAAAAAAAAAACTATTTTTTGTATTGAGGACAGGATGGAATCCTACTCATCTGTATTGTTCCTGCAACATCTTCTACATTATATAGTTCTCAATAAGTGTGTAGAATACATTTACAACTTTAAAAAAAAAAAAGAATTTGTTCAATAATTACTTTAAGAATGTTTTACATACATCATTCTTAAAAAAAAAAAAATGATTACATACATCATTTGATTCTGTAATACTGCTTCATACATTTTTAAAAAAAAAAAAAACATTCACATTTTCACTCCAAGTTATAAGAATGTTCTAAACTATGCCATACCCTTCAACTTTTCTAAGTATCAAACACCATGCTGTGGATAGTAAATGCTTGCTGAATAAATGTGTAAGAATAACTGGGGCAGATGACAGCATTATAGTAACAACAAGCCAATAAGCTCAGTTGATGGCAAAACTACTTCTGGAATGACTTCAAGTAAACTATCATTTCTAAGTTTTAGTAATAAAAAAAAAAAAAAATCCCTATCAAATTTCTTAGATCTCTTTCAGAATATGCCAATTTCTCAAAAAAAAAAAATTAAAAAATTCTAAATTTAAGTTGATCTACTGGATCAAGCAAACATTTCAAAAAAAAAAAATGTACATATTCTAGCTATCACTACTTTAATCATAAAACTATTTCAACTAAAAAAAAAAAAAAATAAAACTGGAGACTTGGGATGTGAGCAGGACTTCAGCTATTTAATATAAAAAAAAAAAATGTATGTGTATATATATGTGTATATAAACGTATATAAAACTAATCACAAAGGAAAAAACTTTTTGTGGGGGCAGGAAAAACCATAGGAAATGAGAGGAAAGGGAAGCGCTAATACACCAGAAGGAGGCAGGCTATTTCAGCATCTTTTAACTTAGTATTTTAGGTGATACAAAAAAAAAAAAACTAAATGGCTTAATTCTATACTAAGTATAAAAACACGCCCCTCCAGTACAAAAAAAAAAAACAGGTGGCACTGTTGTGACATTTCTTCCTTTTCATGTATGCCTTTATAGAAAAAAAAAAAAGAACCCTTAATAACACTAAACACAATGAATTCAGGAATTTAACTTTGTAAAAAAAAAAAAATCTCAGACATCCACGTGATCTACAAAACTGGAGGAAAGGAATCTGGGTTAAAAAAAAAAAAAATCCATTAATCAAATTTCTAGTTTAAAAAATGGAGCATTAGTTTTAAAAAAAAAAAAAAACCTTAAAAAAGAGGTTATCTAGATTTGTCACTCACCTACTCAACAAATAAAAAAAAAAAAAAGTGTGCCAGATGCTGGCATGATGATGATGATTGATAAGGTTCCTGAAAAAAAAAAAAAAAATACAAGTAATTATAGTTTTGAAGAAGTGCTATGTTGTTCTCAGTCTGAGTGACTGCACAATATGATGATGTTGGCTGAGGTATGACAAGGAGAGGGAGTTTACATAACAAAAAAAAAAAAACTGTAATGGAACATTAGGTCAAAGAGGACATCTAGGAAGACCCTGAAGTGTCTTGAATTTTCTAGAAACTAAAAGAAAATTAGAGTACGGTGAATAAGAGGGAGAATAGGAAAAAAAAAAAATGGAGAGGTAGGTGGGAACAGACTGAAGAGCTTTTTAAACTTTAAGTGGGGACTTCAGTATCACATCAGAAGTTCAGATCACACAGAGCTTTGAAGGTCATATTAGAATTTTGGATTTAGGAGTTAGAAGAAATTTAGTGGCTGGGCGCAGTGGCTCACACCTGTAATCCCAGCACTTTGGGAGGCCGAGGTGGGCAGATCACCTGAGGTCAGGAGTTCCAGACCAGCCTGACCAATATGGTGAAACTCCATCTCTACTAAAAATCCAAAAATTATCCAGGCTATGGCGGCACGCACCTGTAATCCCAGTTACTCAGGAGGCTGAGGTGGGAGAATCGCTTGAATCCAGGAGGCAGAGGTTGCAGTGAGCTGAGATAGCAGCACTGCACTCCAGCCTGGACAAGAGAGAAGACCCTGTCTCAAAACAAACAAACAAAAAGAGATTTAGTGGTTAATTAGTTTAGGTCCTTCACTGGGATTAAAGTTGGGCCATAGGTAATTCAGTAAATTAGTTTCTTAAAGTGGTTTAGAGAATTCTTCTGAGACAAAAGGCAAACAGTTTTGGGTCATTTTAAAAGCTGAGTAGGTAAATACATTCAAAAAAAAAAAACCATCTATGTGCAATGCAATACACTTGAAACATCACCCACTTTCCAAGGAAAAAAAAAAAAGACAGAAAAAGGGGGAGAGTGATTGAGTATAGAGTATAAACATGACTAGAAAAAAAAAAAAAGAGCATAAAGAGCCGTTTTTGAGAGCCGTTAGTGACTTTCTAGGAATATTTTCACTACCCTCTCCACTTTGATAACAAATACACTTTGATGTAGTCTCAAAGGAAATCTAAAAAAAAAAAATTCCATATCATTTTCAACACCCAACAATAACTTCATGTGATGTAACGACAAAAAAAAAAAAAGGATGAGTATACAATTCAGTAGCTCAAGATAATGGATATAAAGATCCAATAAAGATAAAAGCTACCTTTTATTCAAAACAAGGCATATTCTCGGGTGCGATGGCTCATGAAAAAAAAAAAAGCATTTGGGAGGCCAAGGTAGGTGGATCTCTTGAGACCAGGAGTTCAAGAAAAAAAAAAAAATATGGTGAAACCATCTCTACAAAAAATTAAAAAATTAGTCAGGCATGGAAAAAAAAAAAAGTAGTCCCAGCTATTAGGCTAGTGAGAAAGTAACTGCGGTTTTTTGCCGAAAAAAAAAAAATTTTTTTTTTGGCATTAGTGGCATTTTTGCCACTAATGGCAAAAAACCGAAAAAAAAAAAACACCAACCTAATACTTGGGAGGCTGAGGTGGGAGGATGGCTTGAGCTCAGGAGGAGGAGGTTGCACTGAGCTGAGACTGCACCACTACACTCCAGGGTGGGCAACAAGTGAAAAAAAAAAAAAAAAGGAATTTTCTGAAATACTCACAAGATCTAAGTGAAAGTAGTATTTGTAAGCTGGAAAGCCAGTACAAATGCTAGCCCTAATTCAGATTTCCCAGCCTTAATTCTTTAAAAAAAAAAAATATCTTCAATTACATCCTGTATTCTTTCAATGGAACAAGAACACACGTTAAAAAAAAAAAACAAACAAAGAAATACAGCAACTCAGTTTATTACATGCAGATTCTTCTGCATTGTTGCTAACAGTTCACTGGTCCAAAATTACTAAAATACTTAAAAAACTATACATTATGAAAAAAAAAAAAAAATAAGACAGAATAGTTCTTTGTACATATATTTAGTACAGGTTGTTAGGGATTCTGGAATATGTACAATTTTACATCATGGACTGCATTTTTCACAATGCATAAATATAAAAAAAAAAAAAACAGAAACAAAAATAAGATTTCACTAATGACACAGAATACCATATCATAAAAAAAAAAAAACAGTCCAAATTCAAGAAGAAACATGTCAATGTAAATGTGCAAAAGGCTAGCTTACTCTAAACTATTCAAACTTTGTTCACTTTATGTTCTACAAACAGGTAAATCCTGACAAAAAAAAAAAAATCTCGAAACCCTCCTCAGAACAGCAAGTGAAATGAAACAGATTTTTCCAAAAAAAAAAAAACAAAGCCTTGTTGCAAGCTAATGAAAAGATACATTAAAACACACACACAAAAAAAAAAAAACACACACAACTATGTATAGTATGCTTTCAATAGTATAATAAACATTTAAAAAAAAAAAAAGAGTCAAAACAATGCCCCATTATTTAAAAACTGGCTCTTTTAGTCTAAATTCAAGATGCAGCTGTGTCAGGCTTCTCTAAGCCCGATGACTGAAAAGCAGGGAAGACAGACGCAGGATTTCGACTGGCAGATACAATCTGAGAGAGAGATGGAGAGAGTGAAGAAACCTTAAAAAAAAAAAAATTTATGGTATTCAAAATGGCTCCTTCTGGGCTAACCAACAATTTTTTGACAGGTGTGTCCAAATGAAACACTGAAGTGCTACTTGGCAGTGGAGGATTACTGGGGCAAATGGCAGAAACCAAAGATGTCTTAGCCAAAGGAGTAGCTGGAGGAGACTTAATTACTGAAGTCAGAGATACTGTTGGTACAGGAGGTGGAACAGGAACTTTAACAGTTGTGTTTATGATTTGTGGTGATGTATGTACTGTGGGTATAGAACTTGCATTCCCAAAAGAGTTTATAAATTTTGTAGGAAAAAAAAAAAAATGTTGTAGAGGTTGCCCACTTAAAGAATTATTTGACGCTAGTGTAATCTTCTGGGTAGAGTTATCTATTGGCGTAGACTGAATGCCTTGGCCGCTGTTAAGAACTAAGGAAAAAAAAAAAATTGGATTAGCAGATATAAGGAGAACATGGCTGCCAGCTCCAAGACCTTGAAAAAAAAAAAAAAACCGGGTTCCGTTAATCATAATCTGAGTACCAGGTGCCAAAGGTGTAAAAAAAAAAAAAACTATTTTTTGCTGAATACAAGGTTCACTGAACTGACTCCCGACTAAACAAAAAAAAAAAAATGGTGCTGAAGCCGTGTGAATGGTAGCGCCACCTGGAACAGAACTGTAAAAAAAAAAAAATACTAAAGCTTGCTGGTTCGGCAGAGAAGCAAAATTGGAAATATTAACTAAAAAAAAAAAACTTGGTGAAAGGGATGACAATTCAGTTTGAGGTTTATTTGCGTTTACATAAAAAAAAAAAATAGTTGAAATCCCTGGTGACTGAAACTGGAGCGAAGTCCGAGATTGTCTTTTAGAAAGAGATATAGAACGTGTGGCTCCTGGTACTGTTGCTGAATGTGGAACTGTGTTTATTATTTTGGGGGATGTAGTCGCAGGTGCAGGTAAGGCAACCGTAACAGGAATTTGCAAAGAAAAAAAAAAAAATTTAGGAGACACTACTGGTTGTGTAGTTGAAATCAGAACAGATGATGCAAAAAAAAAAAATTTCACAGTTGATATAGCCACAGTGTTTCCGAGACTTGATGAGCAAAGTAAAAAAAAAAAAATAGGCATAATTCTCGAAGAGGTATCATTTCCACTGACTAAAACAGGAGAAAAAAAAAAAACTGAAGCAGAGGCTGAGGTCACTGAAAGGGAACCTAAAGATAAATTCGCAAAAAAAAAAAAAAGCATGTTTACTGCTCTTGCTGCAGAAACCACTGATTCATTAACAGGGAAAAAAAAAAAACTCACAAAATTTGAGCTTACTGGAATTGAATTACCACTTGTTGACAATGAAAAAAAAAAAACCTTGCTACTTTTGTCTTCTCCTTTTGGGGTTACATTTTGTAGTATGTTAAAAAAAAAAAAAGCTGGCACAGTGCCTGAAGTATTTACAATTGCTTGACCTATGTTTAGTAAAAAAAAAAAATCTTTTATCTGAGACACAGCTGGTGATGAATTTATTTTTATTGGTGTGCCCACTGTAGATGGAATCAGTACTATCTGGGGTTGCTCTGGAGTCTTAACATATGCTTTATTAAAAAAAAAAAAAAGAGTTTGTTTTAATGATTCTGCAACAAGAGTCGGGGTTGATGTACCACTGGGAACTGGGGCATTAATAAAAACTAATTTCTGGGCAGAAACACCTGTAGATGTCAGTGAAAAAAAAAAAATAATTGCAGTTCCATTGCCAGAAGAAAGAATAGATGGAGCTGATACCAGCATAAGTTTCTGAACTGGAGTCCCACTGATTACATCTCCATTTGTTGTTGCTGTTGCTTCTGACCTTGTAACAGGGTAACTTTTTGTGATATAATCTACTTGTTGCTGTTTAGTTGGAGTATAAAAAAAAAAAACATTGTTTTGTCCAAAATTTGCTGCTGATATGCTAATTACACTTACTGAAAAAAAAAAAAATGATGGTAGTAGAGTGCTAGAACAAACAGAGGACTTCAAGGGAGAAGAGAAAAAAAAAAAAGTTTTATCTATCATGTGGCCCAAATCACCACTGCCAGTGGGGTAGCCTAAAAAAAAAAAAAGATTTTTCCCCATGGATGGAGCAAAGCTAGCTGGAATGGAAACAGAAGCCGGTGTTTGGCTGAAAGGTGAAAGACTAGATGTAGTAGTTGTTCCAGCTACAGGTGAAAAAGCAGAGGAAGAAGTCGTTGATTTTGGCACCAGAAATGCCTGAAGCTGAGGAGCAAAAGTGAAAACTGAACTTGAAGTTACAGTATTGGGTGAATTTTGATCTGGGTTGGTCTGTACTTTTACAACTCCAGTGTTCCCACCTCGTGTCCTAACAAGAATTGACTGTGAATCTCTTATGCACACAAAAAAAAAAAAATGCTTTGCTTCAGAAGAATCAGCAGTCTGTTGTGCAAAACAGTTGAAGGAAAAAAAAAAAATTGTAGACCCATTTAGTGTTGTTGTTGATAACAGAGGCTGACCTGTGGAGGAAATGGTGGGTGAAGCACTGGGCAAGGAGAATGTGGCTGCTGAAACTGCATTCTTGGTTTTTCCTGCCTCACTCTGGCTAGTCTTAACTGATGGTGTTAATAAGTTATTTACAGAGGTTACAGGCGACAAAGGCTGTGGTCTAGCACTAGTTACATTTGATAAAGGTGTAATCGTTTTGTTAAAAAAAAAAAATGGTAGTTGGGTAGAAACAGTTCCTGGTGAGTTGACAAAAACTGATGCTAAAAAAAAAAAACTATTTGTTGTCTGTGCGAAAGATGAACAATGTTGTTCTGTACCTTTCTAAAAAAAAAAAAGTATTTCTTTCGCAACTGCTTTTCCTTCTTTATGCTGAATCACAAAATTAAAAAAAAAAAAAAGAACTTGCTGCATGATTTTTTCTCCTGTTTTAGGATCCACCACAGGCTGCATCTGAATCTTTACAGAGCTATTTTGAAGATCTATTGGCAACCACTGGCCACAGGGCAAAAAAAAAAAAATTTGTAAAGGACCTTTTGTATTGGTGTGGCAGGTCAATGCTGGCTTTACGGGGCTTGCTTCTGGAGGAGATAAAACTGGTTTTTCCACAGCAGAAGCACTTCTACCTGTGAAAAAAAAAAAATGATTTGTTAAGGTCACTTTGTTCCCAATATTCTTTGCGAGCAAAGCCTGAATGGGTTTGGTCCCTTTCTGGAGAGTACACACAGGTACTGAATCCAATGAGGCAAATGAAAAAAAAAAAAATGGCTCTGCATGCTTTGATTCATTGAAACAGTCAATCTGCACATCACCTAAAAAAAAAAAAACTATTGTCTCATTTGCGCTTAACTTTGCTTTCTTCCTTGGAGAAAGCTCTTTTGTGCTGTCATCCACATAACCAGTCTGTTTGGACTGTCGTTTAAGTGTTTTAAGCAGAAAAAAAAAAAAGTCTTTTGAAGGTAATTCCTTTTTCAACAGCTTGCTTCGAGCCATAGGAAAAAAAAAAAAAGACAACTTCATATCATCTGAAAATTATAAAAATAGGCATTTTGTTTATAAAAAAAAAAAAATAAATAACAACAACATCAACTGTAAAAAAGAAAGTGAATCTTTGAGTGGGCAATGTATTAAGAAATCTACTGCAGGGTGATTCAAAAGCCTTAGCACCACTGATGAAGATAAAGGTAAGGTCATCTTTGACATGACAACCTAGATATCATAACCATGCTCAATAATAACCTAAAAAAAAAAAAATTTTTTTGGTCAAAATTTTTGGTCAAGAATTCTGCTAATTCTTCTGCCAAAAAAAAAAAAAAAAACTGTTTCATTAGAAACACCTAAGTCAACAATCAGGGCTCAGAATAAAAAAAAAAAAGGAATCTAGTTCTCTTTTTCTAGCTAGGAACATTTTGATACCATAGAGAGGTGGTTCTCCAACCTATTCTATTTCTAGAGACTCTAAAGGACAAAAAATATCCAGCTTTTTCTGATGTTCACCCTTATAGTAAAAAAATTTATGTTCATATTCGGTCAAACTAGGTTTATAAAAAAAAAAAAATATTTGCCAAAGATCGAAAACAACAGGTTAATGCATTTCTAACCACATAAAAAAAAAAAAACCTCTATATAACCAAAGAAAGTCATTAAACTTGATTTACATAATAATGTAATCTGATAAATGGAAATTAATTACAGGTAATCTAATCCAGCCCTTTATCCTTATTAAAATGATGTGTTCATTCTGGTCTCATTAGGCCATCAACCTTGGTAATTCCCCAAAAAATAATCTTAAAAAAAAAAAAAACTTGTCTCTATTTCTAAAGTAAATCTCAGATAAAATGCTTCAAAAATACTACTAATAAAAAGAAGAGCATGAATCAATTTCAAAGGGATTACAGATCAAGGGCATGTGAAAAAAAAAAAACAATGACAGGCCTACAGTTTGGAGTGAAGCACTGGCTCCTGAAACTCCTAGAAATGTAATAATGACTCCAAGAAACTTTTTGTTTTTTTTGAGACAGCATTTTGCTCTGTTGCCTACTCTAGAAAGCAGTGGACAGCTCACTGTAACCTTGAATTCCTGGCCTCAAGCGATCCTCCTATCTCAACCTCTTGAATAGCTGGGACTACAGGGATGCAACCACCATGCCTGGCTAATTTTTATTTATTTTTTTGTTGAGATGGGGTCTTGCTATGTTGCCTAGGCTAGTAGAAACTAAAAAAAAAAAAGTGGACAGTACTTCTTCAAAACATAACAGATTTCTCCAATGAATGCATTAAAAAAAAAAAATTATCTTTTGCCTTCACAGCAAACAAAAACTTCTCTTTGTGCTTTCTGTGCTGATTTAAAAAAAAAGGTTTAATGCTTACCTGAATCAAAGTGATCTTTCTCCAGGATATCCAGAGGTTCTGTTAAGTCAATAGACTTACTGATTTCTCCCTTAGGAGAGTCTTTTCCAAGATCTCCTTCACCTTCATCAGTAGTCCATAGTTCTCTAGTAAATTTATCATGATCAGGTTGTCTTCTGAAATCATCATAGTCTTTCTTTAGGCGGTTCCTGAAATAAAATGCCCAACATAACAAAAAAAAAAAAAGTATTAAATTCTTGAAATCTAAACTAACTTTTAACATTTTAAACTACATATGGAAATATTTTTTATTAAGTCATTAGAAATTATGCTTTAATCTTAAAGTGTGTCTAAAAAAAAAAAAAAAATCTTGCCAACGCTCAGGACAGAACCTATGGTACAGGCGTAAGAAACTTGAAACTTAAAAAATTATATGTATCTGGCCAGGCATGGTGGCTCATGCCTGTAATCCCACCACTTTGGGAGGCCAAGGTAGGCGGATCTCTTGAGCCCAGGAATTGAGACCAGCCTGGCCAACATGGTGAAGCCCTGTCTCTACTAAAAATACAAAAATTAGCTGGGCGTGGTGGTAGGCACCTGAAAAAAAAAAAATTCGGGAGGCTGAGGGACGAGAACTGCTTGAACCCGGGAGGTGGAGGTTGCAGTTAGCGAAGATCATGCCACTGCACTCCAGCCTGGGTGACACAGCGAGACTCCATCTCAAAAAAAAAAAAAAATACACCACACACACACACACACACACACACAATACACTGCAAATTTCAGAATACAGATTTGAACATACCATCTGATCATCTTTTCTTTTTCTTTTTTTTTTTATTTGAGACAGAGGTCTCGCTCTGTTGCCCAGGCTGGCAGTGCAGTGGCTCAATCTCGGCTCACTGCAAGCTCCGCTCACCGGGTCATGCATGTCTCAGCCTCCAGAGTACCTGGGACTACAGGCGCCCACCACCACGCCCAGCTAATTTTTTGTATTTTTAATAGAGACAGGGTTTCACCATATTAGCCAGATGGTCTCGATCTCCTGACCTCGTGATCCACCTGCCTCGGCCTCCCAAATTGCTGGTATTACAGGCGTGAGCCACGGTGTCTGGCCTGATCATCTTTATAAAGATTGCTGTTAGACCAATTAAATGAGACAACAATAATTTTTTTTCTAGCTGCACTGACAGATTAGAGAGTCTTAAAATTACTGACTATAACACATCTTAAAAGGTCATTTAAAAAAGTTTAAGCCAGAAATTCTAAGCACCAGTATCTATTTTTGCGACTATTATACAGAGAGTAACAAATCTATCACTTAATCCTGGGAGTAATCGTATCTAAACCCTTCAGTCCTAATAGAAATATTTTTTAAAATTAAGCCTAGGAAAACAAAGCTGAAAAGTAATCTTTCACAGAGATCCTTTTCATATAAAAACGTAATAGCTTTATTTCTGAGAAACTAGAGATGGAAACATCTAGTATTTTAGAGATCCTTTATTATTCCGTTTGTTTTCAATGAAGTTTTCTACCCTATCCTCAACTTTCACCCTTAGTGTTGTTTATTCAAAAAAGAAATATGAACATATGTTCTCTATTTCCTCCCTCCCTCCCTCCCTGCCTCCTTCCTCCCTTCCTTCTTTGACAGAGTCTTACTTTGTCACCCAGGCTGGAGTGCAGTGGCACGATCTCAGCTCACTGCAACCTCTGCCTCCCGGGTTCAAGCAGTTCTCCTGCCTCAGCCTCCCGAGTAGCTGGGATTACAGACGCGCACCACCACACCCGGCTAATTTTTGTATTTTCAGTAGAGACAGGGTTTCACCATGTTGGCCAAGCTGGTCTCAAACTCCTGACTTTGTGATCTGCCCACTTTGGCCTCCTAAAGTGCTGGGATTACAGGCATAAGCCACCACGCCTGGTCATGTTCCCCAATTTATTTTTACTACACATTCTTATTTGTGCACATTAGATCTTAAGTCCCACCTCTGTTACTTACTAGTTGTAAGACTTTCAATTTTAATTTAGTTTTTTGAGATAGGGTCTCACTTTATCGCCAGACTGGAGTACAAGTGGCACAATCTTGGCTCACTGTAACCTCCACCTCCCAGGATCAAGAAATGCACCCACCTCAGCCTTCTGAGTAGCTGGGACCACAAGCATGCACCACCACACCTGGCTAATGTTTGTATTTTTTATACATACGCAGTTTCACCATATTGCCCAGGCTTTAATTTTTTTTTTTTTTTTTTTTTTTTGAGACAAGAGTCTTGTCCTGTTGCCCAGGCTGGAGTGCAGTGAAGCGATCTTGGCTCACTGCAAGCTCCGCCTCCTGGGTTCACACCATTTTCCTGCTTCAGCCTCCCGAGTAGCTGGGACTACAGGCGCCTGCCACCACATCTAGCTAATTTTTTGTGTTTTTAGTAGAGACGGGGTTTCACCATGTTACCCAGGATGGGCTCCTCTCCTGACCTCGTGATCCACCCACCTCAGCCTCCCAAAGTGGTTTTTAATTTTTAAAACATTAAAATTCCTTAATTTTCTAAGCATCAGTTTACTTATTACAAATGAGAATAGTAACAGTACTTACCTCTCAGTATGTGTGGCACATAAATATTCAACAGATGTTAGTTAAAAATTGCTTTCAATTTATTTATGTTTTAAATTATTGTTAAGGGTTTTACGGAAGCACATGAGGGCTGTGAAAGGTATTAGAATGGGTTACTAAATGATAATCACAAAATGAATTTCCCTTTCAATCTATAAAATTGGAATGAAAAAATATCTATGTGGAGATAGTATAAAGTTCTCCTCCCTTCTCACTCTCAGTAACCTTGTTGGTCTCAGTTAATGGCTTTTACTTCTTATTTCAAGAAAAATGGAGGCAATCAGAAGAGAACTTTCACATGCTCACACCTCATCTGCAACTCACCTTAATGTATATTCCTATTCTCCATCTCCCTACCTAAGCTAACACCTCCATTTAAATGCATCCTCTTACCTAATCAAGGATAACACTCTACTAAATGTCCCTTCCTTTACCTGAATCCATTTTTTGTCTACTAGATCATTTCCGTCAGTACACAAACATGTTACTCTATAACATCAACAACAACGACAAAACACATTCTCTTAACCTCTTTTCCTTCCAGATACTGCTCCATTTCCCTATTCCACCTTATAGCAAAACTCCATGAAAGAAGACTCTTCCATTTCTTTCCCCTAATTCTCCTAAATAGACTTCTAGGACTTTTATCCACTTTTCTACTACCACAGCTTACCAAGGTCATTAATATGATCCTCATGTTGCCAAATTAAATAATAAATTCTTATTTCTCATTTCCTCAACCCATCATGAGCAGTCCTCCTTTATGAAACATTTCCTTACCTGGTTTCCAAAACACTTCTCTTCCTTGACTATCTTCCTATTTTACTGAGCACTTCTTCAAAGTCTCTTCTGCTGAGTCCTACTCATCTTGGCCACTTCTACATGCTGGAAGATCTAGTACTCGCTTTTGTTTTCTTCTCTATCTATGCTCATATACTAGGTGATTTCTACCAGCCTTATGTCTTTAAATACAATCAAGATGCTGACAGCTGCCAAATTTTTACCTCCAGACTCTCTTGAACTCAGACTCCTATACCAAACTGCCTATTCAATAATACCAATTAGATGTCTAAAGAGCATATCAAAGTTAACATGTTCAAATCCAAACTCTTCAATCCCCTCTACCTCTCAAATTCGCTACTCCTTGAGTTTCCCCTATCTCAGTTAATGGCAATTCCATTATTCCAGTTGTTTAGACCAAAAATAGTGGGTACCATCTTTTTCACTCCTCACTTTCTCTCATATCCGATATATCCAATCCTTAAGCAAATTCTACCAATCCTACTTTCAAGATATATTCAGAATCCAGCCACTCTTTGGTATCTGCACTGCTACTATCCTGGTCCAAGCCTCTACCATTTTTCTCCTGGATTACTGCTATAGTATACTGGTTTCCCTGCTTTCATCTTTGTACCATTATATTTACCTCAACCCAACAGTTAAGAGTGATCGCTTTAAAACATAAATCAGATCATATCCCTTCCCTGCTTAAAACACTTCAATGACTTCTCATCTCACTTAGTGTAAAAACTCAAATTCTTAAATTTTATCTACATGATCCGGCTTCCTTCCTCCTTACCTCTCTGACTCTTGCCTGTTACCACATTTCTCTTCACTTGCTCGGCTTTGGTTACACTTGCCTCTTTGCATCTCCACTAAATGCCAAACATGCTATCAACTCTAGGGTTTTAGTACCTTTTATTCCCTCTGCTTTCCCCTCAGAAATCCACACAGCTCCCTTCCTCATTTCTTTAAGGTCTCTGTTCAAACACCAACTCACCAGGGAAGCTTTCCCTGACACCTGATTAAAGAGTAACTTTCATCCCGCCCAAATCGGCCATTTCTTAACCCCCTTAGCTTGCTTTATTTTTCTTCACAGTACTTCTTTTGCCACCTGACATTTGAGTGTGTTTTTTTCCATGAGAATGTAAGTCACAGAGTAGCGGCTTTGTTTAGTCAACAGTATTTTCTCAGGGCTTAGAAAATGCCTTGCACACAGTGGGCAGTCAAAAATATCTGCCAATTTACAAATGACTGGAAAACTACTAAATGATTCCAGGACATCATCCAAAGATCATAAATTAAGGACCATAAAATAAGTAAAACAGATTATAACGTTTGAATTACCTGTTTCTTTGGAAAGCCTTCATTAACTTCGGTTCCCATGGCAGCAATTCATTTAAAAGACGGATCAATGTACTATGTAATTCTTTTACAGCTTGCCTCCGATGATACCATTTTCCCTAAAAACAATGTTTAAAGTAAATCCCTTAGATTTATTCTAAAAGTAAATGTCAAAACTTATTTTCTGAGTAAAATACAAAAACACCAATACTCCATAAAACATATGTCTTCTTCAGAAGCTTGAAGAAAGGGGGAAAATATCAATATATGTAACAATTCTCACTTCTACCACAGAAATCTGAAACCTGTTTCATCCAACTGGAAGATAAAAATTTTAAAAATGTTTTAAAATTGCATCAACTGTAAATGTTTTAATAAGTCATTTGTTAAATATATGTAAAAATACAAACATTTATATAAATTCATTAAATAAGTATGACATGGGTCATTTCAGTAAAGTTATTGTAATTTTCCCAAAGAGTGGGGAAAAGGGAGAGAAAAGGTACGTCTGTTATCAGGTCCAAAAGCAGTCTTTTTAACAAACTTCCTAGGAAATTTTACAATTATTTTATTTTACAATGTTTCTAGCCCAGAAAAGCAACCAAGCAGTTACTGTTTTCAATACTCTAATGCTATAGTAAGAGTTAATAATTACTGATGTCCTCTCAATCTGCTAAGTATTAACCTAGGTATTTCACATCTACATATCTAGAGAGAGCTCTAGCATTTACAAAAAGCCTTCTGAGATATGTGCAGTGTTATGTTCACTTTACAAATGATGAAAATAAGGCTCATAGAGATTAAATGACTTAAGGTCCTATAACTTAAACCCATATCTGCCTGATTCTGAAGTCCAAGCTCTTAGAATCACATCACTACCTCTTAAAAAGTACATCACATAAATTCAATCTGACACAGGCTATAAAAACCTCTAGAAGATACACCTCACCTGTATATATAAAATTATTTGAATAACATAGGAACAATAAATTTATAGCTGCTAAGCCACAGTATATACCTGTTATTACCATCATCTACTGTTACATAATCATGTTGGGTTTTTTTTTGAAATGACTTTGAGATATAATTCACACATCATACAATCCACATGTTTTCTTTCTAACAAAAGATACATAATTATATACATTATGGGTCACATTTAACATGCATGAACTTAGATTCTGTCCTATAGCAACTGTTGAGTCCATTTGCATATAAGTAGAACACTAAGGCGGAAAAATTACCACTATCTAGAGCAAAAAGTATTACAAACATGTGCATAAATTTCCCAATATACATAAGGTTATACATATACATATATATATGACCTTCAAATTTCAGTCATGAAAATTTTAGTCATATATAAACCTGTGTGATGAACAGTATAGTTTTACAAAAAATATTCTGTGCTTTAAACCAGCAGAATGTTTATGCACATAAACAGGTAAATTTCTACCTCTGAGGTTTTTATATCTTAGAAAAGGAATTGCTTACTAGAAGAGTAGGAAGATACGAGATTATATGCGTGCATATGCACATAATGAATATGGAACCTAGGCTCATGACTAATTCTTGTTTCTTAATGGTATGATGAATCACAGTATTAAGAAAAAAAATTCAAGAAAAGTAATTTTTATTTCAAATATTAATTTAGATAGGCCTCTTGTTCAATGTGTTCTAAAGTACACAAAGGACCCAACTTAAAAATGAGCTACACCTTACAAGTTTATTTTTCTCAAAGAGACGTTATAAAAGTACTTATTTTAAGCCATGAAAATAGAACTATTAAACTGGTACACAATAAAATCGAATAAAAAATAACTTTCATTTAGAAAAAGTGAACTTAAAATAGAAAATAGGTAACTTTTCCCTTTAATAAGGCATGTACACCTTGAAAGTTTTTCTCAAAGAAATGTTATAATATAGTAAAAAGTGCTTATTCTAAGCCATGAACACAAAACTATTACATGATACGTTATAAAATTGAACAGGAAGTAACTTTCATCTAGAAAAAGTGAACTTAAAATTGAAATTAGGTAGACTTGTAACCAACATTCTTGCACTTCTCAACTATTTGGCTTCAAAAAGTGAAATGGTGAGAGTGGAAGTAAATCTTCCCTAAGTTAAAGAGAGAAGAAGAGGAAAGGTATGATGGTAGGGAGACTATACTCTTTGTGGCAGAATTAACTGGAAAACTGTTCAAAGGCTAGGGAACACCAGGCATGCTGAATTCCTCAGCGGGAGTTACAGGAGAAAAATGACAGTTGTAGAATTACTCTGGGTAGTATGACTGCTGCCTGGATTAGCATGTGGTAGTGCGGTGGGGGATGCAGAAGGACTAGCAGTATCGTGGCACAGAAGAACTTACTTAGGTCTAGGTAGATGAGGCACAGGATGGGGAGACTGTGTAGCTGGGATGTTGTTATTTCAAGATATTTGTCAACTGTATTTCTGTCTCTGTTGAATTATTAATATTAATTTTTGTAGAAAATAGTTTTTAAATGATTAGAAAGTTTTTATCTTTTAATTTTATTTTTATTACTAATCTTAGAAATTTAATCCAAAACGGATAAATATACTACTGAACTAGAGGACTGTATATAAGGAAGGAAGCTTAAATATTATGATCAGAGAACAGACTTCTTTCATACAACTCTGTCTCACCCAGTAATCTGTTTTGAAATGTCTGTTATCTTTTAACGTTATATGCTTTGTGGCCTTCTTCTCTTTCTTTATATATTTTCAGTCTGGGGTAGTGGCGGTATAATATTTCATTCATAATTTGAAAATGCTTATTGAATCACTCTATATTTGGAAATCAAACCACAAAGTTTATTATTTTCATAACACAAATTATAGGAAAGTAAAGATTGATAAAATGCTTTGTCTAGCAGATACATATGAAAATAATGACCACAACAAAGGGCTCCCCTATACCCTGCCATGGAGAATGTGAGTCAAGTTTTTATGTTGCTCAAATGAATGCAGAGGTTTAAAAAAGTTGAAAATTAACTGTTCTGAGATTGCTATTTGAGCTAAGGTGTTTTAATTACTGAGAGTAAAAGGGAAACTCACATTGCCTGTTTCATGTATCATCTTCTTTGGCCAAAACATGGTGCTTACAACCCCAATCAAATTAAAATGACACTGTCCCTTTCTACTTAGTAGTGGCCTCAGAGTTTCATGGTATACAATGAAATTAACATGAAGAGAAGAAAAGTTATATAAAAGAAATTAGAGATGATAATCTGCCTTATCTTGGGTCTAATATAAAAATCTATTTAAAAATCAAACAAATATTTACTGAACGTTAAATCAGGTAATTAACTAAAACCTACTAATAGCTTTTCTGATTGATCAACTTTATTCATATACACGGACAAGGGAAAAACAAAGAACAATGATCATGTTTCATCTAGGATGAAATTATTAAAGTTGAAAGGAAACTCAAAGGGCATTTATTTTCTAGAAGAAAATGGTCTAAAGTTATACAGTGAAGTACAGTTGACCCTCTGTATCCAACCACAGATATAAAATATTTGGAAGAAAAAAAAATGAATGGTTGTGTCTACACTAAAACATACAGACTTTTCTTTCTTGTCATTATTCCCTAGACAATATAGTATATCAACTATTTAAATCACATTTACATTGTAGTAGATATTGTAAGTAATACAGAGATGATTTAAAGTCTACAGGAGGATGTGTGTAGGTTATACATAAAGACTACACCATTTTATATAAGGCACTCGAACATACATGGATTTTGGTATGAAGGTGGGGTCCTGGAACCAATCTCCCAAGGATACTGAGACACAACTGTATTTGCAGATAAAAACAGCCATTAGACTAGAATTCTACACTCTAAATACTAGCATCTAATCTCCTTCCACTATACAATGCTGTATCTCTTGGACCCCACAAAGACAATTCCTAAAGCAGAAATAGATTATATTGTGTAAGTACCTATATTTACATGTAGGTATCTCTGTATTGTAAGAATTAAAATCTCTAAAACTTATTTTAACTTTTATAATTATAATAATAATTAAAATTATAATGACCTAAAGTTAAGAGTGAATTAAAAGCAAAACAGCAAGTTCTTCTATCTTCAAACACAAAGAGAGAATATGGATGTAATAAAAATCAGAAAGGCTCTTAAGACTTTCTCTATACTGATTAATACAGAAACAAAGATAAAAATGGCAGATAATTTAGTAAAAGATCATTTGTGGAGTAGTGCTATGACTTTCTCTAATAAAAATATATTTAATAAGCTTTATACATCTAATTTTAGTTCTGACTTTCCTTTATAAACAAGTATGTGAATACAGGGATAAGTTAACTGTTTCCATGTTAGAATTTTCACTGTTTTCATAGTCAAAAAATACTAACAGAATCTCAATGCATTATATGAATTTAATAATTCAAATATTTACTGAAGGTCACTTTATAAAGTGGCAAGTAGTATTTTTCTTTTATGAATCAACAAAAGTATGAATTTCAAGTGTACATTATGGAACCAAAGGCATACAATATAATTTAAATTTGAAGCTTACCTTTCATGCTTTCTCATCCAATGTCCACTGCAGCTGCAGATTGCCAGCTCCCTTTCCATGAGATGGCCCAACTACCAAACACTGGAGGTTTTATAACCCCATAGGGATTGCTACAAAGAAACTGGTCTATGGTCACAAGGTAACTCCTTCATTATATTATGCAGTTTTATAAGTTTTTGAGTGTAACCGATTAATAAGGAATCATAAAGGAAAATAAAAAGTAACTTACAAAACTACACAATACTGTAAAAAGAAAAGTTGCATCTCTATGTACGTGAAATGAGTGGGGAGGGAAACTTACCTCACAACTAAAGAACAACTCCATTCTGCTACAGTAATCTGGGATGGGTATAACAGCACCAGCATAACACTGGCTGGGGTGTGGCAAGGAGAGGGAGTTGGCAATCTACTGATGCTGGGGACATTGGATACCTAAAAAGGAAGAAAAAGAGGGACATAAATAAATTCTAGATTAAATGTCTCATTACCACAAATATATTTTGCACACCTTAATTTAGATGCTTTGTACATTAAACTTAGGTGAAAGTCACTTGTTTATACAAGTCATACAGTTACTTACAAAGATTTTTCTTATATCTAAACAAAACAGGTATCAGCCATCATATGAAGAAAACATGAAAACCATATAAAAATATACAAAGAATGCTTTTTTAAATGGAGATGGTATAACTGTGTAGATAACATTTTTATTAAAAAGAATAGTACAAAACATGACTTACACAACAAAAGTATGAATGCTATTTTCCTATGTGCTTTTATTTACAAATATGTTGTTAGATCACAGACACATGAGGCACAAAACATTTTTTGTTACAACTTTAATTCTTGTCACAGACATAAATTCTGTGGTAGAGAAGGTATTAAATATCAATATCTTATGCTTTCCTTTTTTTTTTTTTTTTTTGAGACAGGGTCTTGCTCTGTCGCTCAGGATGGAGTGCAGAGGTGCGATGTCGGCTCATGGCAACCTCCACCTCCTGGGTTCAAGAAATTCTCCTGCCTCAGTCTCCCTAGTAGCTGGGATTACAGATGACTGCCACCACACCCAACTAATTTTAAATTTTTGTATTTTTTTTTCAGTAGAGATGAGGTTTCAGCATATTGACCAGGCTGGTCTTGACCTCCTGACCTCAAGTGATCCACCTGCCTTGGCCTCCTGAAGTAGTGGGATTACAGGCACGAGCCACTGCGCCCTGCCATATTATATTTTTCAATTAAAACGCAAATACCTTTTAGAAAAGCTAAATGGATCCCTATAAAAAGAAGTCTTATTTAAGGGTCTCATGCTCTACTGACTGATTTAGCTGGGCACTTAAAGATGTCTCATTTAAAATCACTAACTATATCCAAAGGTATAATCTAAACTCACATGTATAAAAACAGCATATATATAATAAACTGTAACTAAGTATTTTAATAAATGAATTATTTGACATTCTCCTTCGTCTAAGTACTATTAAATGAAAAGGTAATACTATATTCAATAAGTATTCACTTATTTTTCTTACTGCTTACCTACAGAAACTACCACCATATTAACATATTCCTGCATATTCAGTTTTGGGAGTAAAACATCATGTTAATCACGTTGGTGCACAGTACCTGAAAAAGTGCTATTTTGATAGTATAATCCGTATAAATATGAAAAAAGTTAAAAAGTATTTTAACACTGACAGAAGCTCTAACATGAACTATTACATATGCTATTATTTTCTCTTGATAGTTTTACCAATTTTTACTTAGGACTAGGAGAAAAGGAACGTGTTTGTACTTTAAAGGCATCCCACACTGAATACATTGAATAGTATATCCAACATTTCCATTATATTTCTAAATTAGCATTTAAATAGAAAGCATGAAGGCAAACTACAACAATAACAATAATGATAACATTGCAAGTTTCTCTGTCTTCTGGCTTTGTAGAGGGGGAAAAACTGGGTGACAGGTCACATTCCTGGTAAGGTAGTTCACTATCACTGGGGAAGAAAATCTAACAACATACATTTAAGAGATAACGTGCTACCATTTTCATTTATAAAGAAGAACGAACTGTGGACTAGAAATTAACCACTGGTTGAGTATCTGAATTTGACTGTTTTCAATAAATTGATGTTAGCCAACAAATTGATGAAATTTTAGCGGATCTATATATGCTATCAGAAAGATGGGTTCTCAAACAATTCACAGCACAATCTAAACCACAAAGTAATGGTATGTTTATTTGGCATAAGAGGGGCATAAAAAGTTCCACATAAGTGACATTAAGACGGAAAATATTTGAAAAGCAGGGACAGCATCCTACTTACTTTTAATTTTTCGTATTCTCTCACAACGCCTAACACAGAAAAGGCCCACAGTAAGTGTTCCATTACATAAGCACATTTCTCAAGTAACTGAGGTTTCTTCCTTAGATACAAAAGATTATTTAAAAATTGATTAAAATGTTCCTAAAATATGTCTTTCAGATTTTCTGACAATATGAATATAATCTAACTCTGGATGACTTCGGTCATCATTACGAACAAGTTATTTTGTTAGTTTTAAGCTCCTAAGACCTGCTTTTATGCTTTTTTTTCAATTGTCTTTTTAAAAATTATTCATTAGCCAGGCATGGTGGCTCATGCCTATAGTCCCAGCATTTTGGGAGGCTGAGGCAGGTAAATCACTTAAGCCCAAGAGTTTAAGACTAGTCTGAGAAACACGGCAAAACCCTGTCTCTATAAAATATAGAAAGATTAGCTGGCCCTGATAGCGTGCACCTGTAGTCCCAGCTTCTGGGGAGGCTGAGGTGGGAGGACTGCTTGAGCCTCGGAGGTGGAGGTTGAAGTGAGCCAAAAATCACACTACTGCACTCTTGCCTGGGTGACAGAGTGAGACCCTGTCTCAAAAATAAATACATAAATAATTTATCAGTGTTTCATGCTGTCAGCAAATCTGCCTTAAACATCTCTTGTTCTAATTAAAAGCAGCTGCTACTATTTGTTAGAATTACATCTTAAAGAACTGGTTTCCCATAAGGTCTTTCTATTTTAAAGTGGTGGAACATCCACACGTGTACTCTGTGCTCTCTATTTAGGCTCCTTTGTGCTCTCTGCTGGATTCTGGGTTAATTTTCCTTCAATATATAATGTATAATTTTTTTCTTTTTCTACAGAGTCTAGTAAGATGCTAGGAAAGTTTTATTAATGTTCAGTCTATTCAGTTTTGACATAATTTCCCAGCTCACAAAAGGCACTGAATTAAAGTCTTTCCAAAGATTTTTATATCTTCTATAATACAAAAACTCAGAATGATGTAAATTTTTTTTTTTTACCTTAACCTCCATAGATTTAAATTCAATTTTCCAGAACTGTGGAAGGTAGTAAAGAAATTGTTAAACAGAAGACAATACAAATTTATTGGGACTTTGAAAAATGTTTGACATTTACAGTGTCACTTATATATGAATAAGGGTATGTGATACGTGATTCAAAAAGGTTTAGGTGGCCGGGCGCGGTGGCTCAAGCCTGAAATCCCAGCACTTTGGGAGGCCGAGACGGGCGGATCACGAGGTCAGGAGATTGAGACCAATCGTCTCTACTAAGAAAATACAAAAAACTAGCCAGGCGTGGTGGTGGGCGCGTGTAGTCCCAGCTACTCGGGAGGGTTTTCAAACATTGTTTTTCATGCAAGTTTCGCTGGATGAAGATTCAAACTATTCAAGCCCCAAACTGCGTATAATAGTAACAGTGAGCACTGGTAAACAAGGTTAAATCTAGTCTTAGTTGTGTCGAGTATAGGGATATGAAATGAAGATCATGCATGTTTCAAATAATTCAGTGACATACAGTCAGACAGCAAACTTTGTCTTGCTGACGTCAGTCATATATGCTGAGTTCACAATTCCTATCATCTAGGTCCCCTTTTTCATTATTATTCTAGAACATGTCAAGTTAACATTTGATTCTCATAAATCCATGTTATTTGCCTTTACACTACTCCCAAAACAAACATATTAATTGACAACAACAGTAATATAAGGGAAGTGAGCAAATCATATGGTGCTGGCGATACATTATGAGATCTAACACAGCATTGAAAATAAAAGAATAAATCTTTTATAAAGAGGACAGGGGCTAGCCCAACAAACCCTAACAACCAAAATAAAAAATTTTTAGCACTTTGGGAGGCTAACGGCAGGAGGACCCGATTTGAGCCCAGGAATTTGGAACCAGCCTAGGCCAACACAGCAAAACCTTATCTCTTAACCAAAATATAAAAATTTAGCCAGGGCCTGTGGTGGTTGAGCCTCTAGCCCAGCTTCTCTTGTGAG